TCCTATATTCGTATGGGACATATTGAGATTCAATCATATGATTGAATAGTTTACATACATAATTAATGAATACATCACCTGCATATATGATATGCTCGTTTGTAATTTTGTCGGGACCTGGGGATTTGTTTTTGCTAAGAGACTTAACAGCATCCTTTACCTCATCAAATAGAAAGTCTCTTTCTAGTTCCTCATCATAATCCTCAGTGCTGCTATTGTCAATTTTCTTAACCATTTGAGATATGTGATTTTTGAAATCATCATCAAATGTTTCTGACTCATGTGGTTGACCTAGGTCGGTATAGTATTTGCCCCATATTTTACATACTTCAGATGGCGTTGAGCCGCTCTCGCCTCCGTAATCAAGTGTAGATACATTTGTAACTACTGACCGTTGCTTTCGGACAGTTTTGTAGAAAGTGTTTACGTCCAATTCAGCAGATAATTCAATTTCTTTAAACATTTCTTTTTTTATGGGATCTTTTTGATTTCCGAAGCAGACATCGGAATTTTCTTTTCTCATCTTTATAGGTCAAACGTTGTTCAGAGTCATGTTCGCGAGGTTTACCGGAGTTTATCCATGCACGCCTAGCTACTCGCATATCGTAGTGAGCATCATTTAGGCAATTAGATTTCCAAAAAAGGTTTTAGGTATGGTTTGTAGTTACTGTGAGGTATAGAATTTGAGGAAGCATACAATAGAGCAGAGCTTATCATATCATTGAAGTGATCTATATTGTCTGGTTGTTTAAAATCTACATGAGAAAAATTCCGAGAATACATAACGTCCTCGAATAGTCTTTGGTAGGCGTTAATGTCATTTTCATTAGCTAATTTCCATTTTGGAATACCATAATGAAGATTGCTATAACATTCCTTTACTGGCATACTTATGGCCATAGAGCAAGGCAGGTCATCTGATACACTAAACGGACAAGTGTCATCTACCATAATACTGGTAACACGTGTGCTTAGATCGGATGGTATAACAATGTAGTCAATCATACTTTGAAATAAATTATTTTTTGACCTACAAGTATATTTACATGTATGTGAATTCGTAGGCATAAGTTTGAGAGCATTTATGAGGTCTCTATCTGACAAAGCACACTTCAAAGTTTGGTCTCTGTGTGATAAAATATGCTTACATATGTCAGAGTTTAGATCACCTAAAATAAAGGTCGAACTCTTTTCAGATAGATAGTCATACAAATCTAATAGCTCACTGAGAGCACTACAGTAAGTTGCATGCAAAACATTCGTTGATGGCAGACGACAAGCAATGACAAAGACATCACAATAGTTGAAACGGCTAAGCTTGATTGCAATGACATAATCAGAGTTGACTGTAATTCTCTCCGCTTTCCACGAGGAGTTTGAATTAACTAACAGTGCCAGACCGTGTGATCCACGTGAGCATGACGAGTCTGCTTTCACATAGTTATAAGTCACAGTTTTCAGTTCACAGAAAGCATTGAAATGATGCAAGTTACCTGATGTTAGCCAGTGTTCTTGTATAGCAACAACATCAACAGGCTGTGATATTGTCTGATTGATGTATTCACCACCGTGAAGTAGTCCACGTACATTCCATGTTAACAGAGAGAGAGTCATTATGATGACACTGTGGAATAATGGTATTCTAATACAGCTGATAACGTTATTGCACATCATGATATCAATACTTGTTGCTGTACGATTCACTCTCGTCATTATATGACCTGTTTCTTGGAACATAGTCTCTCACCCGGATTCCAGGTGGCCAAAGTCTCTATTACCGGAAACATAGTCCTCATAATCGTCAAAATCGAGATTTACTTGTACAGTGTACGTATCTTGATAGTTGGAACGAAAATTTTTCTTCATTAGCCTGACAAAGGTCACACGCACATTTTGATCATGAGTATATTCATGAATGAGTTCCTTTACTGAATCGAACGACTCCTCAGCACTAATGTTATACAGCACAAGACGTTTAGTTTTGACTCTGGGAACACCTTGAAGAGCATGATATCGTTTAGAGAGTGATCTGATAGGATGTGTAGTATTGTTCTTTACCTTATTATCACTCTTGTCTACGTTGTTGTTGTCCCGTTTCCGTGATGGGTGACGATCAACTTGGTTCCAGGAATCTGTGTTGTCTGTATGTCCTGGATCCATTGAGGGAGGTCAGCGTCGTAGTTGTCGTATACGAAGCTTATGGTGTTCCTGTTGTCCTGTGGTGGATGCACACTGTTGTCGTTGATCTGACTGGATATGACTGGAATATGACGGGGTTCAGGGTTGGACGTATTAGTTTTGTCCTTCTCCAGACGCGATGTTTGCTCCACCGCTGTTTCACTTTGTTCTGTTGTTGCAGGTGTCGTTGGTGTCGAGTCCGTGTTCGAGGTAGATTCACTGTTAAAGAGATCTACCTTTTACTTTGTCATTACAGTTCTTTATTTGACTAGAGAGGCTTGCAAATTTAGCATCAATTGTCTTTAATTTGGCATCGACAGAATAATTTGTCTTTAATAGTTCACTTTCTAAATGTAGAATGTGATCTCGATATGATTTATTTTCTTGACTATACAGTTTCAGTTCCGATCTCAGTTCTGACCTTCTGTTTTCAGAGTCACTGAGCTTAGATTGTAGGTCTGATATAGATTTATCCTTTTCCTGGATAGTCTCATTTAATCTCATGATGTGATCAGAAAATCTACTTTCCATACACTGTACCCTTTCCTCCAACTTGCTTTGTCCACGACAAACAATCTGTTTCAACTGTACAATGTGGCTAAGTATGGAACACGTTGAGTCGTTTGTCTCACCTGAAGCTCGTTCAGTGGGAGTAGTCGATGATGAAGATGTGCTGTTGATCTTGATTGGTGTATTGACGTTGGTGACGTCGTTGGCTGTTGATGGCGTACCTGGTGTCGACATAGATAGATGTCGTACACTTGCTCTGCTGAGCACCTTAGTTTGCAGGACATGTGCAGGAATAGTACCTTCAATGTAATGATATAGGTAGTACACATCTTGAGCACACTTGTATATGGCCGGCGCTGTTGTTGCCTGAGTATTTTTCTTCTCACAAGTAGACCAGCTTTCAGAATTTATATTTATAATACTAAGGCACGATCCTTTCCATGCGTTTTCCAAGGAATTCTTACTTTTTATGACGTCAAAAAATGATTATTCAAAGCAGATTTTCAAAATATATTTGCCACTCAGTTTGTTTCCCACTCTGTTGTTCTTCACGGGTTTTCAAAAGCAAACTTTTCACCAGGACGTCAAAGTCTTCAACAAGCTGGTTTAGATGTTGTCTGTTGTTGTTGTACATTTTCTGTTCTTAGTCATATGTCAAAAGTCACGTGGTTTGGCGGCCATATTGGATTGAAAGTGTGCAAAAATGCGATATGCTATCAGAACGGCCTAAAACAGCATATATCTCTGTCAGCATCGACCCAAAGGGTCCATATTTGATATGTGTCTCTGCCATGAGATTCCGATGATTTTCGACCGCTTTGTTCCAAGGGGATACTGCCCGCCGTTTGGCCGCCATCTTGGATTTAAACTTATTATTTTTCAGATTGCCATAGCAACGAAAGTTGAAAAGTGAATGACTTGACATTTACTATATTAGTAGGCACAGTTAATGGGAAGCTTTCTGCACAATCTCAGTTCTGTACGTTGAATAGTTCTGGAGAAAATAGGGGGAAAATAGTTTGGCGGACAGACATGCGGACAGACGTCGGGATCAGTTTTCCCGAGTTTGACCATTCCATACGATACACTAGGTCCGGGCAGAAACACCAATTCCTTTTAACCCAGAAGCAGTAACAGCGGCGTCTTAGCTCGTCAAAAAAAGTACTTTTTCTTGTGACGGACCGGTCAAATGACTTTGACCCCCGTGACCTTGTTGACCTTGACCATTAGAAAGTCTGTTGGGCAGTCTACCATGTCCAGGGGTTAAAACCCTGATTCAAAATTAATTCCAAACTTTCAACGTTTGACAGCAAACATCTCAAGAACTAATTGTTCCACCACTTCCAAATTTCTTGTACAGATGCACAATCGAATTCCCAACAATTTCGCCTGGACGGGTCAAGTGGCTAAAATGTACCGTTTGGCAGTTATTTTCGTTTCAGTCTTTTGGCCATGTTTTCCAGCAGTTTTCTGAGTAGTTTGCTCCCACCAAAATGTGCAGATTCTGCACACAAAGTGCCAGTATGGTAGATGGCGTCTTGGTGATTCCAGAACACTAATTGTTTTGACCGTAGACCCAAGAACAACTGAGATACAGCCTGTTAAAGAGGGAGCTATTTCTTCTCCGGAACTTCTTAAAGGTACATGACCCCGCGACCCCGGCTGTATTTGGAAGATCCGCTCGCCTGTCAAGAAACATGTTCTGGCTCCGTTTTGGACGATGATTTCTAGCCCTCAGATACAATAGATAGAACTAAAGCCAAGGAGACCTCATCGCTGCCTGCAACTGTATCAATACCTTACAATGTTTAATTTCATGAAATACATAAGAGAATTTCGATACATATATTTCGAGATCAGAGGGAACTACCTGTGAAGATCCGTGTTAGAACTGGTCTGCTTGTGATAAGAGGCGACACCAGAGGATAAGGTAGTCAGGTTATCTGTTGAATCGAAGTGTTTTAAAACATGTTGCTCAAGCAAGTGCATATTTACACGTATCCCTACTTGTCGTGAAAGGCAACAACCGGGATCGGGTGGTCAGGCTTGCTAATTTGGTTGACACATGTCATCGTATCCCAATTGCGTAGATCGATGCTCGTGATGTTGATCACTTGATTGTCTAGTTTCAGATTCGATTACTTACAGACCACCACCATATAGCTGGAATATTGCTGGGTGCAGTGGATCCGCAAATCATGATATAAACGAACGCAATGCACCCAACTAGTCGTCTAGTGTAAATAAGCCTCTAGGCCGCGTCTCACAGCAGTCAGTTATAAAAATTACCATTGTATTCATGAGCACTTCCACACGACGAGGACACCATTGCACGAGCACGTCATGGAAAGCACCCTGGTATTGTTTGTTAACGGTAGGAAGGTGAGTGGCAACAAATAAACCCAAAAACCAATATCACGATACCCAGGCATGCAGTCAACTTATTGCGCGGCACACTCGGCTCACATCTGCCGAGCACTGTCGCCAAGTCATTCACCACCGATTGACATAACCTGCAGTCGTTCGACGAACTCCTGGGGCAGAGTGCCACTTTGTATTATCTCTGTGTTGTATTCGCTCGTTTTAAAAAACACAATCATGCGCAAGTCTTGAGATTGTCACTTGTGACAACAGATCTTATCCTCTTTACTCAACTACATATCCTCATAACAACTTAGTATTTCACAGTGAGAAATTAACTACATCTCATCATCGCATGCATTAATCCCTGTCATTTTATTTTAACCCTGTTTTAACCTCTCAGTGGATGCACTAATCCTGTTTACTCAACTACATATCCTTATAACAACAGTCGATCAAGACTAAGTGAGTCAGGTTCATTATGAGAGTAGGAGTACATTTTCTAATCCCAATTCGTCGACATTGTTTTTGTAGGCGAATTGAGATGTAGGCGAATAGAGACTAAACCGGTCTATTAGGGGGACCGTTCATAATGTATGGCGCGCGGGTGGGGGGAGGAGGAGGAAGTGATATTAAGGGGGGTCACCCATTTTGTTCTGGGGAGCTAGGGGGTCAGCAATTTTGTACACACGTACTGGGTGTGTGAGGGGGTCAGCAATTTTGTACATAATTAACTTATTTTAAAATTATGATGAGATATGGGAAGGGGGGTCATTGATTTTGTACATGATATGCAGGGGTCACTACTTTTGTACATAAATTTTAGAGGTGGGGGGTCATTCACATTGTCCGTTTCTCCATAAATTCATCATCACCCCCCACCCCCACCCATAAATTATGACCGGTCCCTTATTTGTTTGCCAGAAAGAACAGAACGTGTTATAGTCAACAGCTGTACATATTTATTTCAAAATTCACCAAGCATTTCAAATACATTTTCAATTACGTTTGATACAAATTCAAGCAAGTAAATCAGATGGTGAGGGTACTGTGTTTGATTTTAATCTTTCTCTCCTTATTATACCCAAAGAGTAGTAGTGGAAAGATGCTATACGAACAACAAACAATTCTAGTATACCGACGTTATCTATTTGTTCTCCTTGGAACGATTTGATTAAACCTACTTAAGGCTCAAGTATATTCTATGATAATTTCATATCGGATTATAACCTTCCGAATGTGTGTCTCAAATGGAACGGGGAACTAGATGATTCGATAAATTGGAAAACCATATTTTCCCAATATAGACAATCCACTAGAGACACGAAACTCTCAGATTTTCAATATAAGTTTTTGTACAGAGCCATTTACACTAAACTACTAAAAATGAAATTGATAGATAATGACCTGTGTCCATTATGTGGCTCAGTAAGTGAGGATATTAATCTTGATTGTCCAATCATCAAAATGTTCTGGACAGATTTTAACACTTTTTTTATTCAAGTTCTTGGTAAAACGTATGAAATGTCAAACCCTGATATTCTATTCTGTTGTAGTGGTAACAATTAATGAACCACATGATATTATTGGTAAAGCGCCACATTTTCGTAATGAATATAAAAGGACAAAAACCTAGCTTCAACATTTACAAAATATTATTAAATGACGTTAATGAAATTGAGAAAATTATCGATAAAAAAACGACAATATGAAACATTTTTACAGTAAATGTAATGTTCTAGGTACAGTCCTGTACTTTAAATTTTAGTCTTTCACATTCTCTGTATTACTATGTAGCATTTCAATTGTTTAATCTATAATCCCAATACGATATACATTATACTGTCTGCTTTGTCATATGTAATTTGTAGTATTTTGCTCTACCCATATATCATGCTCAACTGTAACCAAGTAAAGTGAATAAAAAAAGCGTTAAAAAAACGTAAAACGGATGTAATAAAACTTGTACGATTGGGAGTCACATTGATCTATACATCTTTGAAACTCGACATCCTCAGTTATGTCCCTTAGTTATGACATCGTAGCTAGCCTTGGGTTCGAATCCCATATACGTCGAGATTATGATTCCGGGTGTGTTACTAAAGCTGGTGAGTTTGAACAAAGGCGATGTGCATGAAAACATTTAAGGTTTCTAAATATTTTTTAACGTTTTAGAGTGAGGTGCTGAAAAATCTGGTTTAAGGACGTATTCAAGATGATTTCAAATATATAAACATGCACGTGTGTGTGCGTATGTGTCTGTGTATGTGTGTGCGTCTGCTAATACCCAGACTCGTTTGCTTATAGTGCTGGGACAATGAGTCACTAAATACCATCTGTCTGCGCAGTATTCCCCCCACCCCTCGATATTCCGTTATCCAGGGGCGGTGGGGTAGCCTAGAGGTTAAAGAGTTCGTTCGTCAAGCCGAAAACGTCAGACCCGAGTTCGATTACCCACATGGGTACAATGTGTGAAACCAAGTTCTGCTGTTCCCCGCCGTGGTATTGCTGGAGTATTGGTAAAAGCGGCGTAAAACTAAACGCACTCGCTATTGATTTTTCAGTGTACAGTTTTATCAGTGTACAGTTCACGTTGGGGATTCTTTGAATGTCGGTATTAATTTTCCTATAAAATGATTCCACAATCTGTGTTTCATCATCTGTCGGGCGGTGGGATAACCTAGTAGTTAAAGCGTTAGCTCGTCACTTCGAAGACCCGGGTTCGATTCCCCACATGGGTATAATGTGTGAAAGCCCATTTAAGATGTCCCCCGCTGTCATATTGCTGGGATATTGCTAAAAGCGGCGTAAAACCACAGTCACTCACGCATTTTCGTCTGTTTTTTAACCTGGACGATAGCTGTACGACGCACATCCATTGACATAATAAAGCACACACTACTTCATCTATGGGTTTCAATTTCACAAGTGTCAGATTGTTAATTCCGCTGTATATATTCACAACTACGCATAAAAATTCGAAGTATCAAAAGCGCTATTAATAAGGTTGAATATAGGAAATAGTTGTTCCTAACCACATAAAATTATACAACGGACTTGTGTTATAGAAACAGCTGTGTTGCTGTCAATACACCAGGAGTTTATATTACACTCATAATGCTACTGTGCTATATAACAGCTGTAAGCAGCTGAAACTAAAAGAAATTGAACTAATTGATAAATTTCGATTGATATATTTTGTATATAGATATATATTTTATTATTGGTAGTTTAAATTAGCAACTGAGATCGTTACTGGCTGTATCCTCAAAGGGGGTTAAAGTATCGTAAAAGTGTTCTCTTTCTGAGAAGTCCCAAAAATTTGAAAGTCCATTTAGCTCTACCAACCTTTTTAATCGTAGAATATTTTGTTGTTTTATAATGGCTAAATATGAGTACAATCGCCAGTGGCTGAAGGGGTGATGTAACTCCTGCTAGGGTCCATGCAGGAAGCAAATGTACCGTAAGTCCCCATGGTCCCTCGTATGGTGATCTCCCTTCAGTTGTTGGCGATCTATAGCCTGTGTTTATATTATGTATTGTCCAAATAGTGTTATTACATGCTAGTTTTAATTCGAACTGTGATAGTCTAGATGTTTTACTGTTCTTTGGCGACAGGTTTTATAAAATATACATATTCTTTATAAACGTCAAATATGTTCTTGTCACGATATGGCTGAAACGTTGCCGATGTGACGTTAAATATTAACTCACTCACTACAGTGGTATAAGAGGTTTAAGTGGTATAATACTAGTAGTATACGACTCTGAGGTATAATGCTGTCATTTAATGTTTGAAGTTGTATTTGTTGACGTTCATCAGGCAATCATGCACGGTCTTCATCAGCGTCATCCACAAATACGACCCGTGAAGGTCCGGGTTAGAATATTGATCTTCAGTAACCCATGCTTGTCGTAAGAGGCGTCTAACGGGATCGCCGCCATATAGCTGGAATATTGCTGAGTGCGGTGTAGATCTAAACTCACTCACTCACTGTAACTACAGATAACCACTTGCTTCGTTTTGGGTGATTCTTCAAAGTCAATGCACATGATCTCTCTACAGGTCGTATGATGATACCGCTTCAGTGGAACGTTATTTTTAAATTAAAGAATTTCCCAAATGTTCAGTAACTTTCAAAGGGATTGGCAACGAATCACGCGATATGGTCTCTTTCGTGGGTAAATAGGCAGCTGGACACCCGCAGACTGATTTTACCTGCTACTGTCAATATTTAAAGTTGTATTTTGACGCTCAGCAGCTAATGATGAAATTCCAAGATACTTGCGAAGTATTGACAGTTTTGTAACTTTCTGCTAGATTGACAACGTAAATTAATATTGAAATCATCGGGAAATGAACGACAGCTGGCTTGGTAGTGCTCAACTGCGCAAGAACACTCTCTGCTGTCAATATAGGTAATACTATGTGCATTGTAAACCATACGGCGGGAAAAAATTGAAATTGAAACATTAATGGTACTATGTGCCAAAGACAATTTATAGCGCTTGCTCTGATGTTAACAAAAACTATCAGACACTTCATAACTGTCACTTTTTGCATTTAAAAAACGGACAATGAAAGCATCTCGGCGCTTCCTTACCACCTTGATACTGGCAACGTGATCTTATGTGACCTCGAGCGCCCAGTCAGGCCTTGTGAAAGAGGTTCGGACCCTGAAGTCACTTGGTATGCGCCCCCTCCTCCAAGAGCGCACATTTGTGATACAGAACGTTGTTCAACGAAGCTTGTTTTTTGTTATATGTCGCCCACGATGATCTGAATGACGTTGGTGATAGGTCGGTTAGAGTGTTGGCAACATGGGTACGGTATTGATGTTGAGCAAGTCCTGGATTCTTGGAGCCTGGCATTGTCATGCTGGAGCAGTATCCCTTGTGGTTGTCTTCTAAGAAGAAAGAACCGGATGAAGAATTACATCACTGTATCTTTGGGTGTTCACGTTTCCATGGATGATGACGATACGTATTTTCCTTGGCCGCTTAACACAATGACGCCGTCG